CTGCTGTCAATGTTTAGTGAACAAAATCAAATTTTGAAGGGGGAAGATCTCAATTTAATGAAGGCACATAAGTCAGTGAGTAGAAGAATGCATAAGAGATAAAGACTGGTGGTGTGACACTACCCTGAAACAGCTTCATGTTGTAGAATGACACAGACACTCCATAGACTGGTCAGTGGAGAAATTTCCTAGATTTGTATGGCCGAACGGGAAAGACATTTAGGAAAGAAACTGAAGGAAAACGGTAATAAGGAAAAAAATAGAAAAACAGAAAGAGGCTAAAGAAGATTTAGGCTATCAGTACCCATGTATTCATGTAGCTGTTTTAATTAATCTCTACTGCTGCATTCTACTCTTCCTGTTATCATGATAGAACTTCTGCTGTGCCAAAATGAATGTCTGGGTAATCATGAAGTGAACTGGACAGGAATCTGGTTGATGATGGTTACTTTTCAGCACATAACTCAAATTAAAATAGCAGGAATAAAATGGACAGAAGTTGGGAACAATTAAGCTGGCACTGCTGCTAAGAAGATCATGGAATCATAGCCCAAAGGGCAAATATAGCAAAGAGACTGGATAAATGAGCAGGTCTGGGACTGACGGCTAAGATTGGTGATGCTACATTTAGTTTGATGCAGGAATCACATCTCCACTCCAAAAACCTTTACACCAAATACAGCAATAACGTAGCTGAAGATACAGTCATTTCAATGAGCTGATTAAAAAACAAAAAAAAAGTTTTCTTTCTTTGTTTTTGTCCTTGATCACCCCAGTCCACCTCAGAGTAACCATAAGATCCTCAGATCCAAACAGAAGGAAATGGCCAGATGAAGGAACTGCCTCTTTGCAGTCAGATTTTTATGCTACACAATAAGAGGACTAAAGCTAGTCAATAAAGAATTAAAATAATACATGACAGAAAAGGTCAAACATTGAGTGAAGTTGAAAGAGGACTGAAAAAAGTAGGAAGAGACAATAGTTCACAAAACAGAAGAGTCAAGATAGCGACTATAGTAAGATAATTTGTACATGTATATATTCTGGGCTGAAAGTTAAACTAGGAGGGGCTGCAGGATGCTGAAACAACAGATCTGAAACAAACAAACAAACAAACAAAAAGCTAGTTAGAAAAACTCACAAGACAAAAACAAAACCAGAAGAGTGGAGAAAATACATCCATATTTATTAGCTGCTGGCAGGGAACTGCCTGAACAACATTAAGACCCATAGGAGTGCCTGGAAAACTCCAGACATCTGTCATGCAGAGGAAAAAAGAACTCCCCTAACTCACAAGAGAGCAGAAAAGAAAGAGAATGAAATCAGGTTGGTTTGAGAATGTTACTTTCTAGATATTTTCATAGGGGCAGGCCTCACCTAGACTGAATTTTAACTTTTCTCTTTTCCTGTATATTTTAATTTACATGTGCACACCTACACAGACACTTTCATTTCAACAGTGCTAATGCTATTTATATTCTCCATTGGGAGCTTGCTACAGTATTTTTAATAATGCCTAAGCAACCCCACCTCTCCCTCGACTCCTGTACATTTCAGTAAGAACACATTTTAACTTTAGAACTTCTATATCTTCACTTAGGAAACTGGAATTAACGTGCCCTCAAAAGACTGTTCTAATTATTACCTATTTAGAGCGAATTAACTAGTGAAGTTAAAGACATGATGTCATGATACAGGGGGCAGTTCTGCATTACTCCTACAGCTGCCTTCCCAACAGGGCTTATAGGGCTCTCCTATGCAATGAAGTAATGAGTTGATGTGAGTTAGAATTAATTTTCTTTCTATTAAATCAGTTATCTAGTCCCTTGTGTCATCTCATCAAGACTGAAACGTGGTGAGGAAACAGCGTGGGAACACAACCAACCAGCTAAGGAATGTGAAGCAGTGGGAATTATTAAAATGTGATTACTACCAAAGCCTTCCTAAAATGACAACACGATCTCAACAGACAGGAGGGGAAAAAAAGGGGGAAAAAAACAAAACAAAACAAAACAAAACAAAACCACAGATTGGTTTGCTACTAATGATTTTCCAGTAAAATAAGCTCTAGCTAGAATAATGTATATTGATGAAACAAGGGATTTGGAAGAAAATATGTATATGTATGTATACGTACAACCACATCATGGGCACTAAGATTGAACAGTGTTGTGGGAGTTTTTTCATAATCCTGCACCTGCAACATTTTCTTTCACTATTTTTAATGCAGTGATCTCTGTGCTTTAAACTTTTTTTTTTTTTTTTTAACAAGAAAAGTAGTTCAATTACCAATAGCCATACTGCTTCCTCCACTTCATCTGTTAACAAGATTTATGGGGCTTTTTTTTGCCATTGGATTTCACAGTTGCTGATACACTGTGGCAACAAGGCATAGAAACATCAGATTCTGGAGGGAAAAATACTCAATTATTTATATATTTTATAATCCTCACTACCATCATCTGTCCAGCTTCTTCTTTATGCTTGTAAATCCTCCACCCCAGGCTCACATCCTTTTCTTTCTTAATATTGCTTTTGCAACGAAGTCAGGCTGCTGCTTGTTTGCCACTTTTCATGCCCATCAAATAAGTAAACAATGGGAGTACAGAGGAGGTGTAGCTGCTCTCCCAAGCTCAGTGTTAGCGAGTGGGAAAAGCAATTCAAGGAAGATCTCAGGAAGCTCTGAGATTAAATTATTCTGCTGTCCTTCAACAGAAATAAATCCAAATTCTATCCGCTAGTTAAAAGCTGCAAAGGAATGGACGAAAGAGCAACATTTCTTTTTTCTTTCTGTTGGAATTGAAAAAAATGCCCCAAGAAAATATGGTGAAAGGGATCACAGGCAAATGTGTTTGGAGAGAGGAGATTTTGGAAGATGATGTAGCTGTTTCATAGGTAACCCCACTTTTGACATACAGGAATGCATTGTAGGTAATTTCCACAAGTTGTGGAAATTCTCAGGAATGCACAATCTGCCATCTGTGGCTTAACCTTCTGAAAGCAAGCATGGAGCTGAGTTAGTTTTACTTTCTGTTCAGACAGCACTTACAGTTGGTACTTGGTATTTCCCATCATGTCAAACAAGTAAGCATGCAACTTCAGCACTGTTTCTCTTACATATTCCTTTCTCCTCTTCCATTTCCACTTTTATGCACACAACTTCTGTGTTCAACAGCAACTTTCTTTCCTTCCTCCCGAGGGAGTGAAAGGTAACAACAATCCCCAAGGACTGATTTCTTTCCTAGAAAGCTCACAGTATAGCAAGCTCATCCTGAGCCAATGAAAGGACACTGTTAAAATTCAGCATAGATTTGCCAGCTTTGTATATTCATGTGGTATCAGATCATAGAATCACAGAAGTATCTGAGTTGGAAGGGACGCTTAAAGGTCAACTCCCTTGCAATGAACAGGGGAGTTGACCTTTAAGGGTCCCCTTTCAGTTTGAAACCATTTCCCCTTGTCTTACCAAAACTGACCCTGCTAAAGAGTCTGTCTCCTTCTTTCTTATAGCCCCCCTTTGGATATGGAAAGCCACTATCAGGTTTTCCCAGAGCCTTCTCATCTCTAGCTAAACAGCCCCAGCTCTCTCAGTCTGTCCTTGTAGGGAAGGTACTGTATCCTTCGCATTTTTGTAGTCCTTCTCTGCACACTCTCTAATGTGCCCGCATCTCTCATGCAGTGAGGATTCTACATCTGGACACAGCACTCCAGGCAAGGCCTCACCAGTGCAGAGTAGAGAGGTAAGATCACACCCTTCGACCCACTGGCCATGCTTCTTTTGAAGCAGCCCAGGAAATGGTTGGCTTTCAAGCCTGTGAGGGAACACTGCTGGCTCACGTCCAGTTGCCATCCACCAGTACCCCTAGTTCCTCTTCAGCAGGGCTATCCTTCCATCTGCCAGTTTGAACTGATAGCATAGGTGGCCACAACCCAGGCGCGAGACCTTGCACTTGGATTTGTTGAAACTCAAGAAGTTCACCTAGGCCCACTGCTCAAGCCTGTCTAGGTCTCTCTGGATAGCATCCCATTGATGACACCACATAGCCTGAATATTAAGTTAGAGGACCCATAAGGATCATTGAGTTCAACTCCTGGCTCCACACAGGATCATGAAAAAATCAGACCAGATGTCTGAGAGCGTTACCCAAACAATCCTTGAACTCTGCGAGGCCTGGGGCCATGATCACCTCCCTGGGCGCCTGTTCCAGGATTCAACCACTGCCTGGTCAAGAACCTTTTCCCAACACCCAAACTTGACTCTCCCCTGACACATCTCCATGTCTTTCCCTCTGGTCCTGTTGCTGTCACCAGAGAGCAGAGCTCAGGAGCAGGCTGTCACAAGGTCTCTTTCTCTAGACACTTCATTATCTTCGCAGCCCTCTTTTGGACACTCTCTAATGGTTTCATGCCCTCTTTGTACCACGGTGCTCAATGCCGCCCACAGTCCTCGAGGTGAGACCACACCTGCACAGAGCAGAAGAGGCAATCCTGATTTTTTCTCTTTGCCTTCAGCTCATCTTCCCAGTTTCAATTCCTATACACAGAGGACATCTGTCCTTTCTCACGAGACCCAACGACTCGGACCCCAACAGCACGATGCAGTACGTATCACCAGCACATTAGCACTCGGGGTGCGCCAGGAGGACACTAAGCGCAGAGCACGCCCATAGCCCCCGGCGGAGAGCCCCGCGGAGAGGAAAGAGGAGGGTGCGCAGCAGGTCAGCCGTGGCACCACCCACGCTTCCCCTCAGCCGCCCCAGCGGCCGCGGAGGAGGGACCACAGCCAGGCTCCGGAAGAGCCTAAGTGACGCCAAAGAAGGGGCACCCGCTGCTCGCACGGATCGTAGCGGCCGCTGGCTCGCCCCGCCCCTCCGCCCCGCCGGCGCAACCTTGGGGCGGTGCTGGCACCGAGGCGCGGCGGAGAGCAGTAGTTCGCCCCGCCCGGCGCAGCCCCCCCCGTTCTGCCGGGGCCGTGGTTTCGGCCGGAAGCGGAGGGCGGTGCTGGCGCTGAGCTCCGGCTGCGCTCTTCGGCGAACAATAGTGGAGTGTGGCGCGGGGCGGTTGGCAGTGCAGCACGGCGAGGGGTGCGCGGAGGGGGCAGTTCCAGCTCGGGGGTCGGCGGCGGCGGTGTGCTGGGAGCGGGGAGGGTGCGAGGAGCGCGAGCTATGGGCAGAGGGACGGGACGGGGCTGCGAGGAAGGAGGGAGTGCGCGGGGTCAGGGGAGCGGCGAGAGAGGGGCTCGTTCCGCCGGGGCTCTGCGAGCTCCGTGCCATGCGGCCGCCGCGCCGCCTCTCGTGCTTTGAGAAGGAAACTTGGGCGGGACGGAACCGTGCTGCCCTACACGCGGCTGGGCTTGGGGGAGCAGTACGGGGGTGTTGCGGGGTGCTTGGAGTAACAGTCTCGCGCCTTGTTTCCTCCTCTTTCAGAGCACGATGAACGAGGAGCAGTTCGTCAACATCGACCTGGACGATGACAACGTGTGCAGCGTCTGCAAGCTGGGCACCGAGAAGGAGACGCTCTCGTTTTGCCACATCTGTTTCGAGCTGAACATCGAAGGTACTGTGTTAGAAGGGCTCCTATTGTGTCACTGCCCTGGTGTGTGGAGCTGGGTGCAGGTGGAGCTCGTTGAAAAGCTCCCACAGAGCTTTGGAAAGTTGTGTGCTAGAAGTTTTCTGGCTGACCAAATTAGGTTCCTTCCTGGTAACAGTAGGTTTTTGAGGCTTTCTAAAATAACACTTAAAAAGATGTGATCAGGTTTCAGCAGCTTCCACAGACCTCTGGCGTCAGTTCAGGTGGAAAGCACCGTGTGTTCAGCCTTTGCTGGGCGCTTCAGACAGTGGTAGGGGAACTACAGATAGAACTCAGTTCAGCTGTGAATCTCATGGCGTGATTTTCTTGGAAGCAGATCAGTGTTTGATAGAAATTATCAGAGGTTTGGTGTGTGCTTTCATAAGATGATATGTGCAACATGATAAAACCAGATTCATCGTCACAGCATGTTGAAGTTTCACATGGAATCACAGAACTGTAGGGGGTTGGGAGGGACCTCCAGAGATCGTCTGGTCCAACCCACTCCTAAAGCACTTCCTTATAGTTTACGAACTGTGAAGTAAGAGTTTTTGCCATTTTTAAAAGGCTGGCCTTGTAAGCGTTGTTTCTGACCTCCAAAATTACGTAGGTTCAGTAAAATGTTTTTCTGTAGTTTTACAACTTGAAGCCTTGTTTATTGAATGAATTTATCTCGTTACTTTTAGTACATTAGAGATTTCCCTTTTTTAAATCAAGTAAGCTCTTATGTTTTCTTAAACATAAGCACCATTACTTGATTTTTTTGGGTATTCCACTTACAGAAAGTGGTATTTGCCAATGCTGCAGGCATGTGACCACCTAGGCTAATCTAAACTGCTGAGGGCAATTGACTTTAAAGCTGTTTCATGAATGTTCCTGTTTTTTGGTGAGAGTAAGATTCAGTCTGTCTGATATATGTGAGTACACTGAAACTTTTTACACCCAACTCTGATGGGAGTGAGCTGTCATCTGTGAGCATTGTGCCCAGTGGACATGTTACTTATTCTGAATCTCAGCAATGTAAGGCTATCATGGTTGTTTTTTTTTTTCCTTTTGCATAGCAATATTAAAGTGTTAATATCTTGATCACTGTAGAATAAAAAGTACCTCATTTTCTGATAATTCTGTCTTCTTTGCCCTATCTGATGTTACTTTTATAAGCAGTGGAGCACTGCCTCTGTAAATGACTTTAAAATATGTCCCTGTAAGAATTTTCGGCTGACCCAATATGTAAGCTGATTCTTTACCATATTCTATACCGTATTCCTCCTACTGGCATATATGTTGCTTTCATTTTCTGTATTTCCCAATGACAAAGACTATGATTTCATATGTGTGTATATATATGTGTGTATACATACATATATATAAATAACAGCAATTTTCTAACAATTTTGGATAAGGAATTGAATGGATAATTCACTAACTCAGGACATTATACTGGATGTTTTCTTATCAACTTGCCACTTATGTTTTAACAGATTTCACATAAGGGCTTGTTGCGCAGAATCAAAGTTATGTAAACTCTGTAAATGTACTGTCCTAGACGTACAAGTGTGGGTCATTTTTGCTGATAGTTTTTTCTACTTAAAAATCATATTTAAAAATCCAAGCAGTTAAAACACATGCAGAACTCTCATTGTGTTCAGTTATAATTTTAAGTGAAATAGGCTGTTACAGATATTCATGTAACAGTTAGGGCAGCACTGAAGGATTGCTCTGTTTTAGTGTTGATGTGCACACCTACCTTCTCCCTCTGTGACATAGTCACAGCTAAGCATCTTGCAGGATGCTTAAGTATTCCACTATTTGCAGCAGCCCATGGCAACTTTCACGTATGAAATTCTGGAAGTGGTTTTCCCAATTTCCTTGTTTAAAATGGTGTAGTATTCTAATGCTTTAATAGAAGCAGAGTTTTCTCACTGATTTCACTCCTGCCAGCATCACTTTCCTCAGAGCTCTCAGTTGTAAATCCAGGACGTGAAAATGACCTAACTTAAAATTCAAGCTGCCCAAAGCAGACTTCCTCAAAGGTACATAAACAAAACTTATTGTACAGAAAACTGTGGAAAAACTATTGTACAAAAGTCACAGCTAGCTGCATATTATAGATGACTGTTGGCGAATGTGTGTATTTTCACATTTGTGAATTCAGCAGCTGTAAACGTTTGTGTAGATGGTAATGTTCTGGATCAGTTAAGGTGGGTGAATAATTAGAAACAAGTAAAACAGGGAACACCCCAAATTTTTAATGACTCAACACACATCTTGTTGCTTCAATATTAGCATGAGCCTCAGCTGCCGCTTGTTTGTTTTTATATAGCTTTGTTTGGACAATAGATTGATAATGATGCATGATTGAAATAAATATTTACGTTCTTTTATCAGTCATTTTATATGGAAGACTTTTGTACAGAAAGCTTTGTCTGCCTTAGCTGGATAATTGCTGAATTTCTGAACAAGAAAAATGTTGTTTATGATGTCATAAAACCTTTGTTTTTATCAGAAATATTGTCTCTGTCATATTGAATACTAGACTTTTACTGCTTAAATGGGAGAAAAAAAAAAAGGTGGCTTTAGACATGGTGGTTCTTCTCAGTGTTTTTGTTAAGTCACAGAAACAACTGGTTTGAGTGCAGCTTGGAGTTCAGCTCTGGTATCACTGAATTTATTCAGGCATGGTGTATGTGATAATAGGGCCCATTTCTCTGAAAGCTTCCTGGAAGGGAACTTTTTTGGTAGCCAAACAAGAAGAAAAGGGCAAATGGGCATACAGAATAAACAAAAAGCCAAGATGCAACTTCAAACTTTCTCCTATTGTGTTGTCAACTTTTCTTGAGGAACAGGGAGAAATTCAAGTAGAGGAGAGGCTAGCAGTGCTTTTGCTGACCTTCAGTCTGAATGTGGATGGACAAAAGGACAGTATTCTCATCTGTCATGCTTTCACTGTCTGCCTAGCTGCTTTGAGGATTTGTTCAGGAAGCTGAGTGGACTAAGCTATGTGAAAACACTTTGTTTATTCCCAGACTAGCTTTTGTCTTAAGGATCATCATCGGGTGATTTAACACGTTTTGTTGTTAATGTGATGCTTAAGTTTTAAAGTACTTAAATATGAAATGTAAAGCTGCAATAACAATGCTTTGGGAAACTAAACTGGTCCTGTATAGCAGTTTTAAAGTTCTAAGTAGGATTTAGAGTATATGGGTGCTGCAGATCTGCTGGGATTTGACATTGGCCTTTTGTATGCCTACTGTAAGCAAAGTGGTCATCAGAGATTGTTGTGTACAGTCTTGGTTTTGAATAGGTGCAGTGTTAGTAATCTGTGACTGAAACAGGAAGTGTTTTAAATTCACGTGTAACAATTGCGTAAGTCAGGAAATAAGACAGTGTATGTTAGTTGGAGACTAGTTTCTTCTCAGGAGCCTTTTCGTTTATGGTTTCAAAACTTAAAATACTCACAGTTCTGTTTTTATTATTTGTCACAATGGCATGTTTATCTTACCCTGTTTTTATGTTGGCATATCTTCATGCAAGATTGTTTTAAAGTGTGTTAGTTTTCTGAAATTCAGCAGTGTGTAGTAGGTAGGAAGATCCGATAGAACTGATTTTTACTTACAGATTTGCTTGTCTGGTGCTGTTAATTGCCAACTTGCTTCTGTTTCTCTTTAGAGTTGAACAGTGGCTGAATGGTAAACGTTGGAAGTTGAAACCTAAACCTGTATTGCAGGCCTTCTAATGTGAAAGGTGGGGTGGGGGAATAGATAACTCAGTAATTGCATTGATTAATTTCCGTGGTACTTTAAAGTGCAGATAGACTCAATATTTTAGGCAATTTCAGCGTAAGATTTAGTGCATCCCAGTCTCAGGGTTGAGACAAAGATGCTATAAATTAATGTCTTGGTTTGTTGGTTTTTTTTGTTTGTTTGTTTTGTTTTCCTTTCTGTTTTCTTTGTTTTCCTTTTTTTTTTTTTTTTTTTTTTTGTTAAGGTCTGTAAGATCTTGTACAGTATCCTTATTCTGTGTTCTTTGTGTTCATCTTTGAAAAATGGGATTTCATTCTTTAAAAGTTTCACTTTTTTTCCTATTATTCTTTTCAGGAGAATATCTCACTGAAATGAAATAGATGGTAAGGTGCAGTTGAAAAGATTGGAAACAGTTCTACTTTCATTCTGTTCCAAAGTATTATGCATACTTTTTTATTCCCCCCCCCAATGTAAATAAAATAACAGGAACTGAAATGCATTATTCTGGCAACAAAAGCTACAAACTTTCATCATTGTCCTTTGAGGCAGACAGATAAAATCTTGTGTTAAGGTAGCATTTGCTGTCCAGGGGTATGACTCATTTCTGCAAACTTGAATGGACTTGTAGAACGAGCTGCAGCTTCCAGTAAACCTCTTAACTATGAATTCAAGTCCAAACACATTTGGAGATGGTATTCTTAATCCATGAAGTGCCATATAAGTATTGCTGAGTAAGTTGAGCTGTGTGGCTTGTTCTGAAATTATATTTTTGAAGTCTTTAAGCTAGGGAAGTTTGGACATGTAAGCAAGTAACTTGAACAGTTAATCCTACATACCTGGTGTTATCCAAAATACAGAAATGCTGTCTCATGACTTTTGTTCTCTTCTGGGTAATCTGACTAGTCTTTCCTTAGGAAATGTGAGACACATCTAACATGGTGGTTCCTGTAACGAGGTTTTCAGCAGGATTCATTGGTTCATCTAATACAGCAGTAAAATCTTTTCTAGAGAGCATGAATTTTGGAAATTTGTTGAAAGACTCGATTGGATCTATGTTCTATCTTATATGGGATATGTTTGCTATATGGTAAAGTATAAGCAAGCTGATAGGAATCTGGTAGGAGGTTTTGTGTCCCCACCTGATGTATGGAATGCACTGGCTTTATCAAACAAAAAGTGAAGAGAGAATTTTAATTTGCAAACAAGATAATATCTACCATTTGTTTTGGAAGTTAATGAATAAAT